TTGGGTTGGAAAAGTGGGGGTCGTCTTGTACATGGGGGTGTCTTATTGATGGAAAAATACAATAACTTTGTGTAACAGATAAGTTCCATAGAACAATCTTCATGAATGTATATGGGCGTCAAGGTCCTATATGCCATTCTTTCAGCTTTATTTAATATATTGTCTTAACAGTAAGAGCCACTGAATGTCATGGGAGCTATTACCAGATAAGTAAGTTTACATATAGAAGTTTAGTGTATTCTAAATTTTCATATATAGGAGGTCATTTTTTCCCCTTTACTACTTAACTAAAATTATCAGCATTCAGAAAGATTTATTTATTTATTTATTTATTTATTTATTTATTTATTTAAATTTGTCTCCCACCCATCTCCCCCGAATGGGGGATTTTGGGTGGCTCACAACACATTAAAACAATAAATAAATATACAGTTAAAACCTATAACAATATGCATTCACAAAAATAAAAAGGAAAAAATCCTTTATATTTTATATTATATTTTATATTTATGCTATTAAATTGATTGATTAGAGGTTTTTTGAGATCTCAAACCAGAGTCACCTTCCGGGGGAGATGGGCGGCATACAATTTAATAAATAAATAAGTTTTCGAATTAGTATGCTAAGTTTGTGCAAGTTTGATGATGATGATGATGATGATGATTTTAGTATCTTATTTGTATACCATCTGTGTGTTTAGCCAGTTCCTGAAGAATTACAGAATGGTGAAGGATTTGGTTATGTGGTTGCTTTCCGACCTCTTGGCATTACAACCTGGATACAGACTGTTGTTACATCACCTGACACCCCAAGATACGTCTTTAGGAATGAAAGCATTTTACCATTTTCACCCTATGAAGTCAAGGTTGGCGTATATAATAATAAAGGAGAAGGACCATTTAGTCCAGTGGCCACAGTGTATTCTGCCGAAGAGGGTGAGTTATTCAATAATTTCATTAGACATTTTCTCTGCAAATGAATGAAACAGGTGTTTGCTTTGTTAATTTCAGGGCAGCCATTTGAACTGAGCAGCAAATCAGTCAACTTAGATTTCTCCATTTTTTTCATCAGTATAATTTACTTGTCATTCTTTGTTTCCTAATTCAGAGCCTACAATAGCTCCTTCTGGTGTTTCTGCAAACAGTCTCTCGTCTTCCACAATTGAAGTATCCTGGATTCCCATTCCTTGGAAAATGAGCAGTGGGAGATTGCTAGGCTATGAGGTAAAACAGATTTTCTGATGTACTTCTTCCTGTAAGCTGTTGTTTCTGTGATGGGCTACTTTTCACTTTCAAATAATTAGTCATTTGCAGTTTGGAAGTCTAAGTCTCCTATTAGAAATCAGCTGCCTTGTCTTTACTTCTCAGCAGAAAAATGAGCCATGTAAACATCTAGAAATGTTATTTTTCTCCCCATTCCCCCACTCCTACTTTCTGGAAGCAAAGCTTCCAAAGTGCTGGGCTCTTCAGAGTTGGAAAAGCAGCTTTCTGCTTCTGAACCTAGTTGAACACATGATATAGCCACACATTAATCTGGTCTTATGGGGAGCATAAAAGCCAAATGTAAATATTGACAGATTTTCATAGACAACTTGAGTTTTGTCTTATTTGCTGGCATAGCACCAGATCAATTACTGCAAGCTCACTAAAACTGCACTGAGAATGAAAATTAGCTGGCAACCAACTTCTGTACATGCTTAGTTGGTATCTGCTGCACCTCCACCCAGGACAAACACAGTATCTCCAACCTAAATGTAATCTATATAAACCTGGTTGCATTTAAATATACATAGGTTTTTGCTTTTGGAAAGGTTTTTAAATAAAATTGAATATAGGCAAGGCCTTTGTGTGAATTTATATTTTTAAAGTTGACTACAAAAACAGGTGCACAATCTGATACTCAGGTACACAATTTGATTCTGCTGTTTTTCTATACATAGCAGTAGAAAATCTGGTGTACCCATCCAGTGGTAGAAATCTATTCAGTAAGTATAACTTCTTCAAATCAAAATAAAACTCTTTAGGAGTGTATATGAAAAGAAGCATTTTTGCCCTTAGTGGGTTTTTTTCCCCATGCTTGTCTGGAAACAAAATTGCATTTCAGCTATTTTAACTAAACAACAGATGATAAAGTGTAGATCTGAGCAAGCAATGGTGTCAACAATGTGTTTTAAATTAAGCTATTACTTATCCCCTCTAGGTAAGGTATTGGAATAATGGCGGGAAAGAACAGTCTTCAAACAGAGTAAAAGCCATTGGAAAGGAGACATCAGTAAAAATAACAGACTTGATGAGCAACTTGGTGTATTATACAGCTGTTCGAGCATACAACAGTGCAGGAGCAGGTCCTTTCAGTGCCACTGTCAATGCTACCACAAAAAAACCACGTACGTATCTTCAGTAGCATTAAGGGCAGAAGTGGGATCCCATTACTTCCATCCCTCCCCCTCCCCCCAAAAAAACCCTTTTTTAATAAGCATGCTTAGAATCTTGTAATCTGAGTTCTGTGTTGAGTTCTTTGGAAACTTATACATACTTGCCATCTGAATAACTCAGCAAAAAAATCTACTTTCGTGTCTTCTGGAAAGGGAATAACAATTTAAATATAATGCAATGCATACTACTACAGGCATTGTGGGATACAAAAAAGCAATTAGACTTCAACATATTCCTGCCAAAATGTTCTCAATGTATTAGAAACATACTATTATACTGAAGGTAATTAGAAGGCCATCATTTTGTTACCTGAAGGGTTATTTTCTGAAATTCTAGAGCTTCATTTGTTCATTAAAGCCTGGCTCTTCCAGAGCTCATTTCATTTTCCTCTGTGTAATTTTATACACATTTAACTGTATGCCAAGGTTTATATATTTGGGTGAACATGTACTAACATGAGTTATTTCAGCTTCCATTCTCCCAAGTTTGGAAGGGAAAAGTTGTTCTCCATCTCTACCAGGCCCAAAAGCCACTTTCTCAGCTTTCACTTTAAGTAACTACAAGCAGGAACTCTGAATAGCTGTGTGAGCAGCAACAGAAATAGAGGAAGAAAACCTTTTTCTCTCTTTTTCTTCTTCCTTTATCATTCTGCCATGTGGTTCAACACAGTAGGACCCAAAGAGTCTTTCTAGGTCAGTGATGGCAAACCTATGACATGTGTGTCAAAGTGACACGCCACACCATTTTGAGCAACACGCCAGCATTCACCAACACCCAACAACTATTCTTCCTGTTTGAGTTACCAAAGAAACTGAGTTTGTTTTACTCGTATTTCATTTTTGTAATTATCTGACGTTTCTTTATATAATACATAGCACCACACATGATTGGACTGTATTTTAAAAAAATAAATAAATATGTAAAGAATTGTTTCTCTTTTATTCAGTGGAAGTGACACACCAGTGGAGTCAAGTTAGGCATTTTCCAAATTTTTGACACACCAAGCCCAAAAGGTTCGCTATCACTGTTCTAGGTATTATTTCCCTTTTGTGATCAACACAACACACTGGATTAGTGCAGTTCTGTTAGTGTTGTTGTATTGTCATAAACATTTCAGAGAGCTGCTTACCATATTTGTGTAGACATTCCATAAATTTCTGTAGATTTCCAACTTGGTAATGTCCAGGGTGCTGATCTAACTTAATCTTTTTATTAATCCAATTTATATGGCTGCCCATCTAAGAAACTCTCGGTAGCAAACCTTATAATAGTAGAGGTTTTTGTAAGTGGGGAATACCCTCTCAGATATCTTGGATGTTGATATTTCTGCTATGCAGAATTTCAGTATATTCCTCCCAACTTTGTTTGATCCTTGAAATAGTTATTATCAATTCTTTAGCATACCAATTTGAGGCTGGAACCTCCTAAGTTCAGAGATTTTTGTAAGACTTCCAGTTTTTCCACAACTCCATTTTGATGTCTTTATAGATGTCGTTGTAATACTGCTTCTTGTCTCTTCTAACGGTTCTCTGAAATTCTTGGTTCAGTTCCTTCCTGAGATCTTTGTCTTTCCTGACTATGGCTTCTCTTCTCTTCTTGACAATTTCCACCATTTGTTCTGACATCCAGTTTGTTATCTTCTGTTTCTTGGTTGTTACATTCATATTTTTACATTCATATTTACCAACTTCTTTCATTCCATGATTCTTTTCATTCTCTACCCTTAAAAATGGTAGGTATATGCTCAAGATCATATTATGGTAACTTGGTGACTTTCTTCTGCTGCTTTAGCTTAACTTGGGAATTGCAAAGCTCCAATAATGAAAGTCAAGGAGCACAGTGAAAAAAATGGGACTGAGATTAAATATAAAGAATGCCAAACAAATGACAAGTACAGCAAGCAACCTTAGAATTGACAATGAAGATATTGAAATGGGGGATAGTTTCTACCTTTTAGGATTGACTGTCAACTGTATCAGAACCAGCAGTCAGGAAATACACTGCAGATTAGCCCTTGGTAGGGTAGCCATGAAGGTCTTTGAAAAGATTTTCAGTTGCTGGGATGTGTTGATTCCTACAAAGATCAGAATGGTGCAGGCAGTGGTATTTCCTGTGACACTCTATGGAAGCTAAAGTTGGACTTTGAAGAAGCAGGAGTATTGAACTTCAAAGCTTTTGAACTTTGATTCTTTGTTTGGAGAAGATAATATCAGGGATAGCCACAAAAAACAAAAATTGGATCATTAAACAAATCAACCCAGAGTGCCACTCATGCCACAAATAACCAGGCTCAAATAATATACTTTGGATACATTATGCAATGAACTAGTTGTCTGGAAAAGTCTGCAATCCTGGGAAAGGTGAAAGGAAAGTGATAAACAGAACAATTAGCAGCAAGATGAATGAACTCAGTTGCAGCAGTAATGGATACACCATTGGAAGACCTTGAAGTCTGCCATTGGAAGACCTGAAAGACGACTATGATCTGATAGCACATAATCACCTCAATATAATCTCCAAAATTCTTTGCTCACTGTGAAATTGAGGCCAGATAATTTCCTTGTTCTCCCTCCCTCCATCTTCACCTTTCTTCCAGTCCCCAGAAAGCAAACATCAAATTAGATTTGGCATGCAATCCGTTTTATCAATCCTTTCTGCTTCTTATAACTGCTTTCCATTTGCATGGATATTTGTAGTACACAGATCCTAGATTCATGTACATGATAGTTCACAGTAGGACCATCCACATATTAAATAGGAGGTCATCCTGAGAACAAGCTACACAACTGATCATTAGCATGCTTTGAAATTGGTGCCCAAGATTTAATTATTTATTCACTTGACCAAATGCTAATGTAATTATCCTGTAATTTTAGGAAATAGCAATTTGTTACAGATGGATTTTGCCTGGTAATCAGATAGGAGTAAGTAAAATCTGCTGAGTTTTCTGAATAATTTAATCAGTATCTAAAAGTGACTTTTCACTTCAATTTTTACAAAAAAAAAAATCTTTTTTTTTTTTGGTTCTGTAATTTTCCTGTACAGGTAGTCCTTGTTTAGCGACCACAATTGGGATCGGCAACTTGGTTGTTAAGCGAAACAGTCACTAAGTGAAACCATGACTGTGCTTATGATCTTATTTCAGCTTTCTTGTGCTTTACAGACCTGTGAAGGTTGTAAATGTGAGGATCGGTCATGAAGTTACTTTTTAATCTCTGTCGTAATTGCTAATGGTAGCTAAACGCGGCAGTCACTAAACAAGGACTACTCTTATTCACCCATTCAGGAGAAATTATTCTGTCTCTGAATTAATTTTTCCTTGGTAATATCTGTTCATAGACAAATTTCCTTGGTCACGTTATTTTGATGAACTTTTACTATGTGCCTTTGCATTGGCATAAGGGAATAGTGCAGGAAGGCAAAGGCCAGCAGGGGAGAAAAACTGGTATCAGAGCAGGGGTGAACGGGCAATGACGGCATTAAAAAGTGTAAATTAAATCAAATATTCTTACAATTAAAGTATTTCCAAGATTAGTATCTCAAAAATACCCCCCCTTTTTTTTTCATGAATACTGAATGTGAGAGTATTCCATACAGTTCAAAATCTCAGTAGCAGAAGACTGATGGAATTAGTTATTTTTTCATGTCTGCATATGTGTTCTAGGATAAAACCCCAGGGAATTCCAAATGCATTAATGTTTCTTTCTATTTTATTATAATTGTAATTATTTTATTCATTATTTTTAAATAGAGTTCAGATAACACCTTCTTGAAAAATCAAAATGGCTATTGTTCTTCCATAGTTTAATTCAAAATATAAATTGGTCTCTTTTTTGCAGTCATTCATAGGGTTCTGGAACAAGTCATTAAGAGAAGAAGAGAAAGGATAATGACAAAGAATTGTGTAGATACCTATGCAAAGAGTCTCCTGTATATGTTTGTGTGTGTGTGTGTGTGTATACGCACATATGCACATACAGTGGTACCTCTAGTTACGAACTTAATCCGTTTCGTGACTCTGGTTGCAATTCGAGTTGGTGTCAAGTCGAGGTAAAGTTTCCCATAAGGTTCAGTGTAAATACGGTTAATCCGTTCCGCCCTCCGAATTTGGTCGTACCACGAGGCAAATTTCCCCATAAAGTTCAATATAAATACGGCTAATCCACCCTCTGAATTTGGTCCCCCCCCGAGGTAAATTTCCCCCATAAGGTTCAATGTAAATACGGCTAAACAGTTCTGAAACATATGCATTTTATTTTAAAACCTCAAGACCCTCCCAAACGCCACAAAAAGCTTCCAAACGCCACAAAACACCCCACAAGCCTCACTGAATGTCTCCTTGCTACCGCGATCTCGCCCACAGGAAGCCGCGACTGCATGGCAGCAGGA